GGCTGCCTAACGAAATTTATTTGTCTACATCACCTTAAACCAACCAGATGATGGAATTTTTCTTCTTCTAATAAGTCACGTGTTTACTATTTTCTCCTGTGAGATTTTAACAAACAAGATCTCATTTCAGTTGTCCAGTTGCATGACTTAAAAGTTATGTTTTCTCTTTGGAAACATATTAGCAAGTCATACTAGATAAGGGTATTCAAGAATTTCAAGAAATTGATATACAGAGTCTCAAATGTTGCTTAACATTTTAATTAAAAGAAATAAATACATATTTCAAAAGATTTGGCTATGCTTAGTGGATTTGCTTGGGCTGTAAGGTTTATAATATCAGAAAACATTTATCTTTGAAACTTTACTACCTAACGCATAGGAAGTAATAAATGCTTTTTAAGAATACAGTTTTGTTTTAGAGCAGCATGATTTAATTTCTAAATATGTTCATATTTTAATAACAACGTGAATTTGTTTATGAATAACAAACTCGACAGCAGAAATTGTTGACCATTATAATCATACATAACTAATTTTCAAGTACTTAACTCAGAATTTTAATGTTACTATTGAACTGTTCATCAAGCAAGTTAAAGGAACCGTTTTAGACACATAGAAATGTGCATTTTGGAACAGGCAAATATTTAACACAGAATTTATTTCTTTAATAAAAAATATAGAACCCCACTTATACATAAAGCAAAGGTGATTTAAAAAAATAATCCCTACTTTCTTTCCCTTAGAAATGGTCATCTAATGGGAGAAATAAGACTCTTAATTTAATAGTTAAAATGAAAGTCCATTATTGATTCAATGCAAAACACAATTTACAGAAGGCAAGGCTCTTGTTTGATTAGGAAACAATTCATGGGCGTGGTGTCTTTGGACTTGGAGAGGTTCTCTTAGAGGCATGGCTAAAGAGCAGGTCTTTCTTGTGGAAGGAAACAAAGATGAGGAAATTAGTAGCTTGACTATTTCCATGATGAAAGGTAGTGCAGCTTGGTTTTAGGGTGTAAGCAAACACTAAGAGTTTGTTGAGAAGCAGTAATACCTGGGTCTGGATGGTTTCTATGGATATGCAAAAAAAAAAAGTTGGCTAAAAATGTTGAGTTAGTATATATACACTATAAAACGGATTATAATGACTAGTATTATCTACTAACTGATGATTTGCTTGTCCATATTTTTAAAAATGAACACGTGGTAAGATAACCAATGGATGTGGGTTTTTTTTAAAGAAACTTTTTGAAGAATTCAATCACACAATATTATAACCCTTTATTTCCAGACAAAAACTTTAAAACTGACAATTTATTATCAAGAGTCAAGATTAAAGTCTATTTGTTTCTTAATCATCTCATACTTTATAAATCCTGGATGAGGAAAGAGAAGACATAAAACTAGACTTAAGACAAATGACGTTCAAAGCCTTTTTTTGATGTAATTTTTATTGTGTCTTTTAGATACTACTGCTTTTTATTTTTCTACTTTTTAAATTTTTCCTCCCAGTACTAAGGATTGATTCAGGGACACTCTACCATTGAACTACATTACATTCCCAGCACTTTTTATTTTTTGAGGCAGTGTTTTGGTGCACTGTGAAGTCTGGACTCAAACTTGTGATGCTCCTGCCTTAGCCTCCTAAGTAGCTGGGATTAAAGGCATATACTACCATGCCCTGAAAGACTACTGCTTTTTAGCAAGAAGCACAGTGAAAGGATATCTGAGAAGATATTCCAAAGCATGGAAGTCATCATCAAGTCATTTGGACTTCATAAATGAATTGTTATTTACTTACTACTTCATTTGTACCATCACCATAAAGATATAGGAAATAACTGTATTTTCATAAGCCATGACTATGTATGTGCACATACACAATATTATGCTATACCTTATTTCATTTGATTTCATAACTTGCTTTTCATTGCTTTCACCAAAGCAGGTCATCTTTTTATTTGTTTATGCTACTTTTCTCGTGTAACTAATGTAGTATATTATTTTTGCCGATGCAGAATCGTTCGAATATGAATCAACCATTCATAAAGAACTTATTCAGAAAGCATCCAACACTAAAGGTTTACCACACCCACATTTACCACAAGAGAACAATAGCAGAAGCAATAGTTTGTTTTTTCTCTAGGTTTGAATGATTCAATTGATCTTTATTTTCATCAGAAGTGAGAGCAATAATCTCATCATGGAAGAAAACATAAATGTTTTGAAAATAACCTACTTTGAGATATGGATGGAAACATAATGTTTATTGTTAAATCTTACCATTGATAACAGCCTTAAGAACAGGAAGATTTCTCGTTTTCAAACACTTGGAATATGAACATTGGCAAAAGAAACTCACTTGGCTGGTTAATAGTTTGCATATTTAATTACAAATTTGAATTCTCTTAGCTATGGAATAATATATTTGGAATATTCAAAAAAATACCACCATAGTGTTGTTTTATCCACTGAAGAAAAAGTTATTAAGTTAGTAGCATAAAAGTTACTAGTGTATCTTATATCTTACAGAGAATTTAGTTATGTAGGACCTCATATCAATCTACATTTTAAAAACATTATTTTTTCAGATAAATCGTATTGACAATAATAATCAAGTATTCAATTTTAAACGTTTGGTTGTATATGAATTATGTAATCAAGTCCATAAATTATTTGAGATTTTGTTATCTTAAATACTGTAACCTGTAATAAGGTATCATCACCAATGCTTGTAGAATATTATTGATGATAAGTAGTTACTACATTAGAAAATATTGAATTTAGTTTGTATTGTAAATATTTTTGAGGTCTGGAAATCACATTCCAGCTAATAATATGAAGTAAGTTACTTCAATTCTATCTTGAGAAATAAATATTTGATTTTCTGTTTATATTTCAGAAATCATTAAAAATTTAACATGACACTCTTAAAGTTATCCCAGCAAGGTTCATCTATATTACTCAAATCCCTAAATTTCAGACTCGCACTCCCTGTGCAAATGAACCATTTGTTCTTAGAAGAGAGATTGCAGGTTATTTACATGCTGCCACTGAATTCAAGAGTTGTCTTCTACTAGAACAAATTATATAATTACTGTGTAGTTCAGAAGTTATAGACATAGAATAATTTGGGGGGCCTCATTCGCTTTCTCAATGCCAAAGCTACCTTGGTGTGGGCACTAGACCCTAAACATCTACTCTAAAATGCTGAAAATAATAAACATATACACAAAATACAAAAATTGTAAATTGAAGGTGAAAGAAGGTGAACCATAATGTTAATAAAAATTACTACTAACTTATTTTGCTATTTTAGATCCAGAAACATTTCAATTGCATATAATAACTTTAAATATTGAATAGTGAATAAGAGTCTATATATAACTTTCTAAATAGCTAATTTCAAAAATCATTAACTGATATATGTAATTAGGTAGTTTGTATGAGCCTGATGAAAGCTGGCTTAGGTAGCACATACCATACCAATACATCAATGGAATGAAAGGATGTTGGCAGTAATGGAAAATTGTGATGGATTTTATAAGATCAAACCAACTGACATTTTATGAAAATTTCCATTTTCTACTTTGGATTCCATTTTCTACTTTGGATATTATCTAAACTGACAAAAACAAAGATGCATTTAGATTTCTCAGGGGACATGCCCTCAAGTAGAATATCTGGAAAGAGTTTCTGACAGGTCATGCTATTGGGTATCATAGTTTATGTTGGAATTTGCCAGAACAGACAAACAAGGGTACTCATCTTTTTTTCCTTACATAAAGACAAGAGTTGATAGAATTACTGTCTACAAAATACATTGCAAAGTAAGTTGTAATAGTTTAGCAGAAAAGTGTTTAAAATTGGTGAGAAAAAAGATAAACAAGAAGTTGGTGACATTTTTTATTCCCTTAATTTGACATTATTAGATTTGGTAACATATCCTCACTAATCATATTTCCCATGTATTAAAGACCTACTTTTAAGAGCTCAAAAATTTTCTCAGTGGAAGAGAATGTGCTACAGTATCTTTCCCTTTAGGAATTCCCTTCTCCTTATACTCTCATGAGCCAAAACCAACAAATATCATATGCATTAGGTTTTGGTTTTTATTAAAATACTTTACAGTAACAGTTCAATAAGCACAAAACTCTCAGAATTTCAAGCATATGAATTTTTAAAATTATATTACATAGAAACTATTCTTTTTTTTCAATTTATTTTTTTTCTCTCCCTCATTTGCCTCTGAGATGGTTACAGAGCTTGGGTGCTTTATTAAAAGTTTTACTATAAAAAGTTTAAGCAACAGAATCCTAGAATCCTTCTCTTTTTCTGAATAAAGAGAAAGCATTGTTATACATGAGATTAGGAGAAAGGTAAGGGATTATTTTTGGGTTAGGGCAGGAAAGAATTACCAGGGCCACCATTTTCTCTGAGCTTTTTAGGACACCAAGGATAACCTCATCTTTAAATAAAAATAAAGTCCATCAAATGAATAACAGAGAAATTAGGTTACATAGCACTTCTCAGCCTTTTGACTTAGATCAAGAATAGGAAAGTTAGGTTACAAAATGATTCATTCCTTTAGAAAACGTGCTGAAAACGTGGGGTGATTTCTAGTCAGTAAGCAGGCAGCTGCTACCCAGTTTGGATGCTCTTTCTGAAAAACAACAGTTAACACTGTGGTTGTATTTTTTTCTGATGTATTGATTCAGAATATTATCAGAAATGAGTACATTATTTCTGTTAATTACGTTAACTTAAAACCTAATGTGTCATTTCATTGACTGTTGTTATTGTTTCTTGAAACCTTGTTCATGTTTTTAGGTTTTCTGACTTGAGTTTAGAGATATTCCAAGCAGATCAGCCTAGAGCATTTAGAACTGTGAATTTAATCAGTAACTTCTAGGTATGTGTAGGAACATATTGCATGAGACAGTAATGTAATTTGTGAGAAATGTCTACACACAAGCTTTCATATACCTTTATTCTGTCTTTAGAATTTGGAATGATGGGAGATCATACAATTAAAAGTCAGCGACCTCGATCTGTTCATGAAAAAAGGGTCCCTCAGGAACAAGCTGATGCTGCTAAATTTATGGCACAAACTGGTAATACGTTAGTTACATTTTTCTATTTATTGTTGTTAATTTAATGAAACCACTGCATGTTTTCATAATCTTTTGCTAAACATTTGTCAGTTTTTGGAGCTGATTTTTTTTGAGCCATTTATTTTTTGTCACCAGTTAAAGTCCATAAATAAAGTAGCTGTGAATTGAAAAGTGCACAAGAAGTGTGTAAGAATTATTTTGTTTTGAGTATGGGACATTTAAGATTTACATATTATTATTTCTTCATGTTAATTAATCACTGAAAATGTACCATTAAACTTCTAAAAGAAGACAGCAGTTATTTCTTCAATAATTAATTGAGAATTTGGAATTTAAATAGGACTTTATATGATGAAATTTAACAAAATTCAACATGTTGAATATTTTTTCAAGTGTTGTACTATCTATAAATATTAGCCAATGGAGAATATGCATAGAAATTAAAAACTTTTTAACAATTTAATATATCATTTAAAAATCATTTTAAAAAGAATTGTGTTACATAAGCTAAATAGCAAATAACTAACAGCCTACTATTAAGTTATAATACAACTCCAGATAATTAAATATCAACAAAAATTGATTTATGATTTATAAAATTTGTATTTATAAATTGACTAGATTATTTTTAAAACTCTCAAATATATATATATATATATACACACACACACACACACACACACACCAAAAGACTGAAAACTGCATTCTTTTAAATAATTTCAAAAATGCATAAATATAAATATTCTGAATATCATACATTAGGCTATAGAGTTTGATCAAACAGATGAATTCATAATTTGACTCATAATAAGTGGGCTATAATTCCATCTTATACATTGCATGTGGCATCTCCTTGGATGAAAAAGTGTTTTAAATTGTTCTATGAACATTTTTAGCTGTTGCCTTTATTTTAGGATATTGAAATTTAAGAGTTTTGTTATACATTATAAAATTTTATACATTCAATGTTGACTGTTTTAACATTAGAAAGGTATCAAGTGCATGACCAATTCTCAGACATGATTATCAGACTGATTTTGATGGCATTCCTCCCCAAAATGCATATTTACTTCAGTTCACATTTTCTTGTAATATCTATCCAGAACAGTAGCCCCCAATCTACAACTTAAAATGCAAATGCTGTTTATGAATTGTGTTCTTGGTAATAGGTGAGTAGTACATTTTAAGACATCCATTGCAAGTAGGTCAAGTTATCAGAACAGGATATTTAGAATAAATTCTATAAGGAATGTATTTTTAGTTGTTTAGAAATATATGTTACAGCCAATCCAAAAATGTAAAAAACTTGCTTATCTGGATAGTTTCTAGTACACCTTCTTATTTAAGTGAGGGTGATTAAAATTTTTTCTGTTTACTTGATCAAGTTCAACAATGATACCAAATTCAGGCAAATTTCCAGAATGTTACATGCATTTTTGTCCTTAACAAGGAGCAAAAATCTCAAACTTTAACAGAGATCAGGAGTGTTTAAATCAAGGTTAGAAATGAGCTGACTATCAGCTTCATAGGCAGCATCTCATGAGGCATTTCTGCAAGATTAGAGTGTCCTTTGTGCAAAAGAGGTGACAAATATTAGTTTACTGACGTTCCTGAAAAGTGGGTCACTGGGAGAATAAAATGAAGAAAAATAGGTTTAAATGTTCAATAGTACAGTAAAATAAGTTTCTGCATTAAATATTATGCAATTTGGCCAGGAGTCATTGTTCAAATTCAGTTTTTGGATGTGCCTACTATATATACCAAGAAAATTCACAATTTGCAGCCAAAACCCTTTTGGCAGATTCACACCTCAAGAAATACTGATTTTGTTAAACAGGAATTACTAATTTTAAATTTTGCATTTACTCATTCTTTTCTAATCCTTGTTTTATAGCTAATACACATTTTAGGGACACATGAATTAGTAAATAGATAAGTCACTTATTAAATGAACCCATGAGGAGCTTTAAAATCATTTCCCCATGTTGTTAAAAATAACTTAGATAAGGCAGTCAACTTCAGAATAAAGGTTCTCAAAATGTTGATCAGGGGCTTGAATTCATAAATAATGAATATTTATTATTCCGTTTTAATTCAAAGATAGTGTAAGCAAATATAAATACACGTATAATACCTATTTTAAAATTAAGTAGCTACAATAATGGGATAAAACTAGAAAGTGTGTTATTTTAATAATGTATAAAATTCATAAATTTATCATAAGCAATTATAAAGCTAAAATGAGAAGATATTTTTAAATAGTTCCTGAATAATTTCTTTAGATATTAAGGTAGTCTAAATAAAAACAGATGTCACACTATGAAATTTTATAAATTAAGATTGATTTATAAATTTTCTCTATTTGTCTCTCAAAATATTCCCATTACATATGATAATTATAAAAATTTACTAATTCAATAACAAGGAATAATGCACTAGAGGTAAATAATCATAAAAGACAACATAATATTTTATATTAATCATGGAAAAATGAAAGCAAAAGCCATCATAGTTTATAATTTAAAAATTAGTTCCCAGAATGAGTAACCTACTCTCCTGTATTAATGTGATTAGTAAGTGCTGTAATAAAAAAAAATTTGTAGATTAAGAGTGACATTTTTATAAAGTAAAAATGAAGTATCATAACTATATCAAATAACTTTGTCAGTCAGATAATTAATGTAAGTTAACTAGAACATAAATGATGATGGTCTGATAGCCTAAGACACTATCTGGTTAAGAGAAATTAAATGATAAAATATAGATATTGATATGTAAAATAGACATCTGAATTAAATGCCAACAAAATGGCCTAAGTCATCTTAATTACACTTATGATGCTTTTAGCATCAGTCATCAAATGAATTTATAAACACGTTTAGAAAGATAGTTTTTTATTACAACAGGAAGAACAGCCCATTTGGGGAATACATACATTTTAGGAATATGTACATGTTATCTAAAATTAAAATTGTGTTTTTAATTTCATGATCTTAACATACTAGCAAAATTTTATATTAATATTTTGTTCATAATTTAAAATGTATTCTTACACATCTCACCCAATCCACAGAAAAAAGTTGTAAGGTAGATGTATTACTCTTTTTATTGAAGAGATTCAAAGAAATAAAGTTACTTTCTCAAAGTTACAGAGTCCCATAGCTTTTCATCAAACCATCAAACATAGGTCATTTAATTTTAATTGCAAGACTTTTCCAGTTTTCTTTTGTGTTTTGTTCCAAGATAAAGAGCCTTAATAGTGCCTTAGATACTGAAGCCATTTACAGGATCTCATCTCAGTTACAAGTTAGGACACCAGATCAGTTTGTGTTATGTCGAAAGACATACATGTTGAAAATAATAGACTTTGTCTTATACTTTACTATTCTAATGTCAGTATTTTAAAAATATCTTTCTTATATATATTAATCATTTCTTACAATGACCCAATCAACTAGAATAGTATTCACACCTTCATGAAGATGGAAGTGGCAACATATAAATAATTATTCAGTGAAAATGTCATTTGAAAGATAACATTTGAGTTATAACAAGATTGTTTTGGCACATAGGTCACTGTTACAATGACAAATTTTGATTCAAACCTTGAAAACCAGTATGCATTTTATTGATTAATTAAATAAATAATTAATTTGATTTTTGATCAACAAAATGAACCATCAGTTTGAGGGAGAGTGAAGAAGGCCAGTTCTCAGCATTTATTATCAACCTTTCATGATGTAGGAACCACTGCTTAGCTTATTGAGCATCATTGTAGCATTAAATATTTAAAATATCCAAGTTTTTAAATATTTAAACAAAAAGTAGACCCTGATCTTAATTCATTGCTCTGTTTAATTAATTAAAGTATATTTTTTCTGTCATTAGACAAAGCCAGGGGAAGAGGACTGCTTTATGGCAAAATAGAACTAATTTTATCCATACCCTTTATCATTTCACTTATTATAGAATTCACATTCATAATTTCTTGCTTAAAATAACATGCAGCCATAATATTTATACATCATTTAATCTCATTACAAATAGGTTGAGAGATCATTTTTAAAATTCATTATATTTTCCCTAACTTTAAGCTTACATTTTTCATTGTGAAATATACATGTGTGTATACATAGATACAGGTGTGGATATTTTTAACCATTGTCATATTATCGGGCTTTTAAAATGATGACTTTCAATTTTGCTAGAATATTCTTTAATGTAAAAGAACAAACTAGGAGACATGTTTTTAAATACATTTGAAATAATAATCCAAGGACACTTTTAAGAAATTAGTGTATACAAATTCATGAAGGTAAAAATACTAATGTGATCAAAAATGATCTTTACTACTTACAGAATAACCAATTGCAATATCAAAAAGGAGCCCTATTTGATAGATGTCATCCCAGTTACCATTATCTGTGCCCTTGTGGTATATGACTTGTTATCAGTGCATCATTATTTCTGCCTTTGAGTGCACAATGCAAAAAAATATAAGAGCAAATACTTCATTACCATGCTATTCAAAGTGTGGTATATGGACCAGTGCTTATATGCAAGCATGTTGTTCAATTGAGCCCTCAAGGAATATGCAGATTACATCAGAGTATAAAATTGGCTACTTCAACAAGCACATGTTTTATTTCAGCTGAATCTTTATTTTTCTTTATCTCTCTCCCCCACTTTCTCTCTCTCTCTCTCTCTCTCTCTCTCTCTCTCTCTCCCTCCC